CACACACACCACACACACAATAGTTTTAATGTAATAGATATCTGCATCCATTGGGTGTTTGGAATCACCTGCTTCGTTTTAAGGTGGTAAAACAAATTGCTTGTATTTATTCCTTTCTACACACTTTGCAGATWATTTTTTCTGCACTCCACVTGTTTAATMTGTGCACGCTCCGGCAGGGTGACAATCATTATAGTCGCGCTTTGGAGTGCGCGCATTCGGCCGTGCATCGTCGCGCTATGACCGCAGGAGAAACGAGGTCCAGACTGATTTTTGTGCGTCCCACCTGAGCACTGACTTCACCTGCACTGACAGTCGCCTCGCTGCGTGGAAATGAATGGAGAGCGAGCGACGTCGCCTCCCGTGTGTCGAGCCCTTCACACATGCCGCGGCGCGCACTCCTCCCGCAGCAGGCAGTGTGGTCGGTCGGCATCCGGAAGACGCGCCGTCACGTAAATATGTAAACAGTTCGGCGTTCATTTTCACACACCCGAACCAGGTCCAGATAAGTTTTTTTTCCCCCGTCTTCATTTGCGCTCTCAGCCACGCTGCTTCCCACTTCCTCTGTTTTGGCTCCAGCCGGTTAAGTCATCAAAAACAATTGCGCGGTTGGCCGGTAGACTACAGATCTCTACCATAGGACAAATTTATATCGTTTCTACCGTATATCGTTTATATCGCGCATTCCTACTGGGAAGTGGGAATTTCCAACTGGAATGCCACAGTTAGTGGGAACTCAGCTGCCAGAAACTGAGAGTTTCAAGTTAAAAACAGCAACTACTCACCACAACTCAACAGTGAGTAAAACTCTTACTTTTAATTATAATACTATTTGTGTATTATCTATTTCACATTTAATCAGTCATACATGCAGTAATCTCAGTATTGATAAGAGGACATGATAAATTGCTTTTTCTATGCAGGAAATACCATGTAGAGCTCAGCTATTGTTTGTTAGTGGTCCTCAATCGTAGCAATGAGACAAGAAATGTGACTTTTCATGTTTAGTCAAAGTTAAACATGAAACATGGAAGTTAATTACAGTTAATTCCCTGAGGGCCACCATCATGCTCATTTGGCCATTGGTGAAAATGAGTTTGACACCCCTGATCTAAACTGTTCATCTCTACTTGTTTGAGTTGTGATCTGTTGTCATTCTGACATCCAGCAACACTGCATGTTGAGAATATTTCACCATCACAATGGAAATTACCTTTAAAACAAATTCATAAGTATGCTTGTGTATAAAGTCAAAAGAAAGGCAAGTGTAAAGGACCAAAACACTAAAGTTGAACACCAACCTTAACTACTGTAAATAATGTATTTGGGGCATGGTGCCTGTTTTTGTGCATGTACATTAGCAACTGTAAAGAGGTCGTTTGATTGATTTTGCCAAATATACGTTTCAAACATGGCTTTCTTGTAAGAAACTGGTGGCCCAGACAACTCAACAGTCAAAACAATAGACTCAATCATGGTGAAACTTAAACATGCTTAGGTTCAGTTCTTGTGCATTTTCCAAATAAAACAACTAAATGAATATAGCATCTGGGCTTTGACTGCTGGGGAATATTTGGAGGCACAAATAACACAAACTCTGAATAAAAATTGGACCAAAATTTGTATCACTGAAAATACCGCTCCAGTGAAATTATGGACAATAGGTGGGTCCCAGATGCCAGCAACCACTATTTTTAACCTACCACTAACCACTTACCTATATTTTTGAGAATAAATTTATCATACATATTTTTCCAAACCTTCAAAATTCCTGCAACACCAAAGCAATGCCCTTTAACTCATGCAAGGAAAATTCAGAACCCTCCCAAATGAGGTTTTRAGACATTTTGGAAACACTTGTCACAAATGTCATTTGCAGTTTGTCAACCAATGATCAACAGGCTAACCATGGAAGGGTACTATCAGAAGTGGACAAATACTGTATATTGTTAGCATCAAAGGAGAGCAGGAGACCAAGCTTTTAACCAGACTACAGCTTGAAGATGCCATTAATGGTTACCTGACAAGTCTTCTTGTCAGGTTCCACCTGCAGATAAATCAATTTGAAGCAAAAATATGAGGTTCATATAAATGTTCACAGCAAGTGTTACCAGGTCAAGTTTAAAGTTCTAGACCTGCTTAGAGTAATCAGTAGCCTGGTAAAAAACAGACCCATGTCCTTCACTTTGCTTTGTACGAGGGTCTGGACTCTCAGCTATAGAGAAGTGATTCTTGCTGGAGGCGTGGCCTCTGCTGAAGTTTAAAATGATTGGATCTGTTGACCGCAACATATGTGTGCCAGCTCCACTGTGAAGGAGGCTAAGCTAAGAAGCTAACCGGAAATCGCGTGCGCTGTTAACAAACCTACTGAGAGAAGAAAAGTACCRAGCCGAATGAGACGACTGTAAATGAGAGCTGCTGCTTTGTCAGACAAATTTAATTTAATTTGGAAGCCTTGTCAACACGGACTGGCTTCATTCACTTCCTCCACTGCTTTATGCTAAAATAACTAGCAGACACTGTGCGGAAAATCGACATCATTCAAAACTCCACCTTCTGTTTGTTGATAGGTCCAGATAAGATAAACTACAAGCAGACACTGCACAGAAAATCAACATTCTATTATCTTATTGGCCCGGACGAAATGCTCCCTAAGAAATCCTTCTCTATGGGAGAAGTCCCAGACGAAGCAGTGAAGGGAAACTAGAATTGAGTTGAACTGCGTAGGAAGGCAAGGGCCAGGCTATGTAATCAGTACATGAAACCAAATTAGCCAGATCAAGAATTCACAGAGTAAAACATTCATTGGTTCTTGGTTTGCAACATCAGGCTAAAAAAAAGGTCACTCACAAAGCAGACAGGTGTGGGTCAGATCTGGTGTCAAGCTGGCACTCACTGATGGCTGACTGATGGCATGGCAAGTTGTTTGTCAATCGGATGTGGGCCAGGTCTGGCAATAATGGCCTTGTTTTTAAGATGGCATGTCACAACTTGTCTGGTTGTAGTTTGATTTATGTGGTCCAAATCTGTCAATGACATAACTGGTCCAGTTGTTGTTTGGTTTATGAGGTGATGGCCCAGCAAATCTCTGGGACAGCAAAGAGTCATCATTCTTCGCGGTCTCTGGGCCGAGTGGTAATGCATTGTGTGGGCCAGAACTGGGCCAGACAAACGTTGCTATGTGAGCATGAATTAACTAAAAAAAAACATTTGGTTTGAGGTTGGTGAAAACATTGTGAAACCAACAGTTTCTGTGGCCAGCTCTTGAATGGTGCAAAGCATAGCATGTATCAATACAGTTTTCTCAATTTTGGCTAAAACAAATGACCTGGACTTTTTTTTTTAGATCAAATGATTTAGGAAACTCTTTCTAATATTGTCTTTTTCTATGTATGACAGATGGAGCAAACAGGTTGACACTTGCAACAGTGTTGGTAATAAGCAAGAAAAATGAGAAAAGACAACAAATTTGATACATTTTTTGTCAAATTTAAGAATTTACTTACTACTCAGATCTGTTCCCACACAGCAGCCAGTTGTGGGCCAAACCTAGTGTCAGACTGGCACTGCTGGCTGACTGCTGGCATGGCAAGTGGTTTGCCAACCAGATGTGGCCAGGTCTGGCAAAGAGAGCACTGCTTTAAAGTGACATGCCACAAATGGCCCAATTGCAATTTGGTTTATGTAGTGCTGGCCCATGAATGGACCACCTCAGGCAAACCACATGGTATCTGGGTCAAGTGCATTATGCTGCCTGACAAATTTTGCTATGTTGGGTAGACATGGCCAAAAACAAACAAACAAACAAACAAACAAACAAACAAACAAACAAACAAACAAACAAACAAACAGTTTTCATTGAAGTTTTGAGTTGTAAGGCTTGTGTTACTCATTTAAAAATAGCTCTAATGAAGTGAAGAAAAACATTGCACTACATTGGTGGATAAGGTGGAATTATGACTGAGCAAATCTATTCACGATAGTTGAATCTCGTCAAAAGTTCAGAATAGCATAATGTCAAGCATATGAKTTTGTGTGCATCCACAGATTCTTTGTTTCTTAGCTGTGGACTCAATTCAGCACCACAGGGCCTGATCAATGAGCTTTTGATTTATTTGTCTTCCGTTTGACAGTAACCATATAGTAGCAGCCTTGTTTGAGCTACTGTTGTGTAACAGTGATACGAATCATCTTTAGCTGTCAAATAAACTGCCACTGATTTCTGCAACTTTTTTTTTCTTCTAAAGGGACCAAAGCTGGCTAACTAATATGTGACCATACACCCCCACATTCAACCTAATCACACTGACATAAAGTCAGAAATACACACAAAAATAGTGTTTTACTGTGCTGTGCTGGTGCTGCCTTCTTCATTCCTTGAGGTCTTCATTAGTCTGCTTGTATGATCCTTCCCTTGGCTCTCTATAGATGTTTTTCCTCTCTAGCTTTCTCTCGTTGTGATCACCATATTGAGCTGTGCTGTTTCTCAGATGATCTTGACACGCTGTATACAGCAATTTCCATAACTACGTCTACTCATCAAAGTTAGCTTTGTGATCTGAATGGTATAACCAGTGTATAAGTCTAAYTTTTCTTAACTGCAATCGGTGGTTAGAAAACTAATAACAGTGCATTTTCCCCTTGTACTATTTACTCTGGAAAAAAAATAATCATCTTCTCCAAGAAGGATACAGTAGKTGAGCAAAAACAACAGAAAAAGAGCGGTTCTCCTTTGTGTTTTCAGGAAATGGTAAAAATTCAGTTCTTGAACTATGAAATGATAAAGATCAGTGTAGTTCTGCCATCACAGTATTACAGTAACAGTAAAAAGGATTAGATGGGTTTCACATATCTGATGGAAAAGTCAAGAACACACAGTATAACCCTATAAGATAAAACACTGATTATGACTGATTGCTGTTCAGTCTTTATGCTGCTCACTTCATTGCTTTCTGACCTCACTTTAAGGTCATTTGCAAACCCAGACAAGTTGACATCTATCAGACTGCATTTGCTCTGTTTATTCCAGAAACCTTCAGCAGAATATTGCTCATCCTCAGATTTTATGATGTTTAAAAAAAAGGAGAAAATAATACATCTTTTTGTTTCACCTACAAATCTGACACCAAAGTGGCTGGCAGTGAGTTCAGGACCCCAAAGTTGAGTTCTTTAGGTTTCAGAGTTGTGTGCCTGCCTCGGTGCAGCTTTTTCTCCCCATGTCTCTGTGAGCTGTCGGAGGGTCTCTATCTACAGAACAGAAATAGACCGGACTGGATACAGCGAAGGTGTCTGGAGTTGGTTCTACCTGTCCACCTCCTTTGGGATGTTGCTACAGCAGATGGCGTGTTATCTGGAAAGAGTCGAGGACGGCTTTGGTTGCCCCCTCTGACAGTAGAACCAGAAAAGGGTGTTGGGGTCGCTGGAGGCGAGAGAAAGACTTGAGAGGGATCTAGACCACAGTGTTTCGCTGCCTGTAGGGTGGAGGTGGCAAAACAGTGCCGGTCTTGAGGGAGAACTCAGACATGTACTCTGAATTTTCAGCTACCGCCGGTCGTATGTGTCCGTTCTGCTTGTAGAAGAGCTTGGCATTGGTGGAGCCCCCCTGGGCTCCATTGGGAGCCACCTGGATTGATGATTTAGGAGGCAAGCTGTGCTGCCAGTATTCAGGATTGTCAAAGGTTACCTTTAGTTTCTTCCCGCTGGCTTTTCCTGATGTATACCCGCCATGTTTCAGCATACTTGCAGGGTGTGTGGTGGTGTGGCTCTGGTAAGCTGGCAAGCTACTGTGCTTGAGGGTTGCTGAAGTAGACAGGGAGCCCGATTGGCTCACCTGGGCTTGAGCAGAAGTTCCTGTTTGGCTCGGAGCAATGGAGCCGCCACCTGGATTGCCAGGCTGTCCTGCAGGTTTGACGGTGCTGTGGCCATGGAGAATATGAGTCGCTGGACCGTGGAGGCAGGGTATCCCTGATGGAGATGCCTGGGTTGATGGGAGGGGGTAGTGGGCCAGACTGGTCTGGATTGTAAGGGGCAGGTGGGAGCCTGAGTTTGAGGCTGAGATGGAGGAAGGAGGCTGGGTGGGTAAGGGCAGACCGTTTCTCCTCAGAGCTTCCAGACCCAGATCGGCGGGGCTGTGGAAGGTGTTGAGGTAGAGAGGCTCATTAATGTACTCGTCCTCTCCTTTGGGCTGACTGTTGGGCGTGCTGTGGTACCCTGGGTTGTCCAAGGCGTGGAGCTCGCCATTTTTGCGCCGTGAGACAAATGGGTTCTCCTCAATTGGATTCAGAAACTCTGAGGCACAAATCAGAGAAAGAAAGAGGGGGAAGAAAAACAAAAGGCATTTGAAACAGTAGAAATTAAATTATGGCAAGAGGAAATGAACCAAATGAAATTTGAAAAAAAAGGTAAAAGGATAGCTAATAAAGAGATGATAACAGTGATAACAACAGCCGCTGAGAATCGGATGGGCAAGGTGCCAGCAGTTTTTTGGCACTGTATACTCCATCTGCTCGGGGTCAAAATGCCAACAAACGACCCCTCCTCACTTGCTTCCAAGCGTTATAATAGAGAGGTATGAAACCTATTGATTTTGCCCACTCTTCAGCTCCTTGACACCGCATCAGAATGCATTTTGCTTCAGGCTTTGTTATATCTGAAGCTGCTAAGAAAAAAAAAAAAGAAATCAAAGACCGAAGCACAGGAGCAGGGCTGATGGAGTGAATTATGATCAAAGGCAAAAAACGACTCAGTAGTATTTAACTGGCATAAACTACTATCGCTGAAAACTCTGTAAGAATATTAATCAATGGAGCAAAATGAAATGAAAAGGCAAAACGAGAGCCAGACAATGCTACAAGAGGTTGGATTTACTGGCTGAATGAGTAAAGCCATGACAGAACATAAGAGATGAAACTTGTTTTACATTATGTTTGGTTTCTGCCCCTGCTTCTTGTCTGTCTGGATCGTTCTAGCAGATTACTGAACAATGAATGCTAATTTTCTATCTGGAGTTCTTTTCAGCTCTAGCTGAGGATTTTTTTTCGTGTAAAATTTATTTTGTAGAGGCTGGAAATTGCAAACAAAACTGGAGTATCATGAAGCGTTGAGTAGCTGAGGCCACAGTATCTGAGAGAATCCTGCTTGGATTCTGAATATCTACAAGAGTTCTGAAAACATGCTTTCACTGTGTCTGATTACTGCTTTCAATATACAGTAACTAAGAAACAGAAGTATTATAGGGTCTGTCACACTATCGTGCTTTTAGACAACTTATGTTGTTCTGCTTATCGTACCTGAGGAGTTCTTGTCTTTCATTGCCATCATGTAGCCATCCTCATCCGTGTCCCCTCGGGATGTTCTCTCTCCGAGAAAGATGGTGGGGTCAGCGCTGTACCTCTGGGTCCCGCTGTCTTCCCCCACAGCTTGGCTCTGGCTCTTTTTATGTAGGCTTCCGTTACAACGCTGATCTTCCAGGGCCGGGCCCTGGCTGCTTGTGGTCTCCTGATTGGAACCACCCTGGGCACCTGCCAGAGGTCCTTCTGGAGGGCTTGGACCACCGTCTCGATAGCCAAACTGGTTCTACGATTAAAAAAAAAGATCAAATTCGATACTCTCCTGACAAGCAACCTGTTATTAATTTGAAATGGTTGAAGTTGGTGTAACTTTACAAATTTTCAATAGTAAAATTCTCAGATAAAGTTTTGCTGGTGTAGTCATCAGACTTGAGGGACTCTGAAGGGCAGTCAGGCAAAGCTACGATTCCAACACCTGAACTTAAAAGCTAAAAAAAAAAACAAAGAACAAAAATCCCCCAAAGAAAAAACAAAACATGACACGCGAAGCAAAGGGCGTCTTGTGGTGCTGTATTGGCTTGCCGTAGGCTATTTAATCCCACTATCCTGCACTCTTGCAAACTCTTAGCGCTAAGCAGCAATTACAAGAAGCAGAGAAACAAAACGACGAGAGAGAGAGAGAGAGAGAGAGAGAGAGAGAGAGAGAGAGAGAGAGAGAGAGAGAGAGAGAGAGGATAAAAAGAAAAGAAAGAAATATCCTGGGGTTATATCTGTCCACCTACTCCTTCAGCCTAACCTCCATCGCTATCAACTTCCTCTTCCCCTAAATTTCTCACTTCATCAGTGCTTCAAAGCAAGTCATTATTTGCTCTTTTTCTCCTGGCATCAACACAGATAACTGTAGCAGACTGTATCTGCTGTGGCATAAAGCAAATAAATATACCACTCTGTCAAACACATCGAATTTTCAAAATTGAGTTCCTTCTTCAAAAGGGCATTTAACTGATCAAAAGAGTGAATGTTATTGACCTTAAACTATTTTTTTTTAGTTTTGTAGAACAAAAAGACGTGCAAGTCAAGAAGGCAAAAAACAATCCAGAGGAAACAAAGTAGAAATAAAAGGGCTTTTAAACATTTGACGTAACACGCTACAAAACTGTTTGTGTTGCAATCTTTATTGTCCTTGTTTTGTTTTGAACCCTTCCATCTTAATGCTTTTATGTTGAGTTCACTCAGTTTGTTTCTCCACACCTGTTGTTATCCTTCCCTGCGCACGTACTTTCCGGTTTTAGTAATTTTGTTTGAGGTTGACAATTTAGCTGTATTCGTGGACGTGGAAACAAAATGTGCAGAAAGTGTATGGCTTAAAGATGGGAAACGATGCTTTTCGTTTAAGGTATTATTTTATGTTCATGACTGTTGGAGAGCAGTCGGCAAACGGCATTCACAAGAGAGTCACTAAAATGTCCCAATTTTCTTGCATGGGTCGCAGAGGCTCACTGGAGCTGGACAGGTGAGTCAAAAGTCTCAGGACACCCTTGTATTTCATAAACAAAAGTGAAATTTAAATATCTGAATACTATTGGTGAGGGTGAGGGGTGGCCTACCTTTTAGGTTATGTCCAAAACACTGAATACATTAAACAACGCAATGTTCCCAGTTTGTTCATGCAACTTTCTGTTAACTTTTGAACCACAAGAGATGTTGTAAATCTGAGTGCGGAACTCGATTTTTGAGTCAATTCCAGCCTTTTTTGATATGCTACATGAACACCTTCCAGTTGGAAGAATTTGGCTTTGATCCAATATGGCAGCTTTCAAGATGGCGGCCATATTTTGTACATAGTCGAAAAGATAGKTCTCCATCCATTTCTTGCTGGTGTATATAAATATTCCATTTTCTCTTTTGTTTTTTAAATAAAAGGTAGTCCTGAGACTCTTGACTCCAAGCCTTGAATGCCTAGGTCTAAAAACCATGCCAATAATAAAAAATAATCGTGGAAAAAAACTGGTCAAAATCTGCTCATCTGCATTTCTAAAGAACACAACATTTATGAAAATGCTCAACACTTTAGTGACAGGGCTGCGAGCCTCTGCAACTAATGTAAGTTAAGGACACAGCAAATGTCCTAGCATTTTCTTGAGATATTGTGGGTCCATGAGTCCCCTTCGCCAACTACTTGCAGCCCAGTGAGATCCAACCTGAAGCAGTGTTCTTACTCGGTTCGAGTCGACCCGAGGCCTCGTTGTGCCTGCCGGGGGAGCCAAGCTAAAACCTCGTGGCACAAGATACTCCTCAGCATCCATCAAGTCATCCAGGTCCTCTTCGTCCAGCAGGCTCTGGAAGAACTTGCTGTCATTAGGGCTGGGAAGCTTCATGCGGTCATCTCCCTGAAACATAAAAACTCATCAGATCACATCAGATGTTCATGTACACGGCAGGGCATCAGTGATTGCTCGTTTCTTGCTAGCACACCTGGATGACCAGGTATCGCTGCGGGTCACGTGCCATTCTGCAGAACTCGGCCGCCAGCTCCTTGAACTTGGGCCGGCTGTCTGCATCAATCATCCAACCTGGGAAAGAGAAAGAGAAGTAATGCAGAAAAAGATAAACATAAAACAAATAAAGGACCGAGTGAAGAGGGTTATTGTGGTTTCTTTTACTTTATCCTTCGACACAATTTATTGCTCTTTTCTTATGAAAAGACCTTTTATGACCTTCCACGTCTTCTGCAGTTCCAGAAACGTTCAGTCTTGCAGTTTTTCTCTTCTGCTTGTGAGATTCGCAAACAGCTCTTAAGAAAATTACGGTAATACTAAGCCCCCATGAAAAAAAAAGACTTAATAATACTTCAAAATCTAGCTTAATTAAAAACTATTATAAAACACAGAATGCACCGCAAAGTCCAACAGACTGTTTTTAAAAATCTCAATAAGATTACTTCAGTTTACGTTTTTTTTTTACTTCAATTGTAACATTTATTTACCCAAAGAACGCTGATTAAGCAACTATGATGCTCATTTTAATTAAGTTCTTTACAATTTGAGGGCTAGGTAGCTCAAGGGCATTTTAGAGGTGGATAAAAAGAGAAGTTTTTGTTTTCTTTTAGTCCCAAGGCCACACTTTCCTCCCTCAGGCTACAGCTGCAGTAAACACAACAAACCCCTGAAGGTAAAATGAAACAGCAGGTGGTGTCTGGGCCCAGATTGAAAAAAAAAACTGAGTTCCTGATTCCCACGTTTACACCTCTATTACATCTCCTGCAACACGGATGGGTAAAATGTTGCCTGAAGCAGACCAAAAATAGAGGGAGGTACTATTTGTTTTTAGCAGTTAACACATTGACAAATAAAAACTTGAAATATGCTATGCTTTTTAATAAACATCATGTTCAATAAACTCCCTATGGTCTCAGTTGTCGTTTTTCCTGCCAGACTTTGTTTAGTTCATCTTTWTTCCAGCTCGTATTTGTTTTTTCCCACCATCTAGGAACATAAAAGGAGACGAATTATGGGTCCTAGAAATTTTTATAGTATGTCTGTTGGCTACCCAGACCATGTTCATTCAATTTAATGCACAAAATAATTCTCAGATAATAAAATTTCCCATTTGCTAGTTCTGCTTGATCTGACTTCCGTTCAGAAGAGCTGTTTATGTTAATGAGCTCTGTTGGTAACGCCCTCCAAAAATCTGTTGACATTAACTCCGCCCTCCAAAGCCAGCGTTTACGTTAGCATGGCTAATAATAGCAGAAGCTCCGTTGTACAACCATATGAGACCCAGAGACAGAGTCGTGGTCCCAGCTTCTTTTTTTTCTCTCTTTCTCCCTCTGCTCTGCGCTCACTCTGCATGCTGTTACCAGAGCAGGGAGAAGCAGCAGTCAAAATACCTCAGAAACTCGAACAAATAGGCTTTAACAAGGCTTTAATAAGATAAACAATAGAGGTTCATGAGAAAATGTGTTCATAATGAACGAAAATAATTAAATAGTGTCCATGCCAGTCTCAAACCCTGGTCTCCCGCTCTCTGGTTCAACACTCAACTCATTGCCTTATTGGAGGCTTGTTGTGAAAAGAGCTGCGCATTGCACAACAACACSGTGACGGCTTTTTATACTGAGGAGGTGGAGTCTCACCCGGGGGTTGCTAGGTGAGGGGCTGAATGCAGGTTCCGGTGGGTCTCAAAATGACTTAAGTATAAAACTTGTCGTTAATATACATTAAAAATACATTTACTTACAGTAAATATGTCCCTGGGTGCATTTTTTTGGTCCTAGGACTTTTTTTAAGAAGTACATACCCAAAGTTGAGTAAAAAAAACCTTTAAAAAGTGAATTTTGCATAATAGGTCCCCTTTAACTAAACGAGGTGCAATTATGCCAGCAATCAAACTCCATTTCATCTTTAGTGGGGCGGCGGAGGGGTACGCAGTGTGATGACAAACCAAGTCACAAACAACAGCTTTCAGTCAACATGTAATTACAACTAATGATGCCAGTTGCAAAGCCTTTCTCCTGGCTTCTGAACAGGCAATGTGACCCATTAGTTTATTTAACTCTGCAATCAGCCTTTTTAGTCTTTATTTTTTATTCTAACAGTTTTGCTGACCTGTTGTCAAACATAATTTTACTTTATGAAGTAGGCTGGTTTGGTAAACTAACAGAGTCATGAAGACCTATCTCAGTCATCTCCATCTTCTACCACTTATCTGTGGTTGAACTGTGGATGCAACAAGACCAGGGGAGAAACAGAGATTTCCCTTTTTCCAGCAACACTCTAACTACTTTTGAGGGATCCCAACTTTTCCTAAGCCAGAGAGAGAAAATAGACTCCTTCCATTGAGTTCTGGATCTGCCCCAAAGATCTCTTCCCAGACGAACGTGCCCAGAAAACCTCTTTGTTGTGCAGGTTTTCATTGAGTGAAGATTTGTGCTTCCAAGTATGTTGAAAGTTGGAACTTAGGTTGTTGGCTGTGGTGGAGTGGTTAGGGGAGTCGTCCTGGGACCAGAATGTTGCCYGTTCGATCCCCCGTCCAGCCGTTTCAGTTGTTGCGTCCTTGGGCAAGACACCTCACCCGCCGTGYCTACTGATGGTGGTCAGAGGGTCCAGTGGCGCCGGTGCATGGCAGCAAATACAAACTGCAGCTATCACCACTTTTCAAGAACAAGCCAGCCATACTGGATTTTGAGTTTGGGTATYAAATATCAAAATTTGACTTCTGGGGCACTACAGTAGATTTTTTTTAACTTGAAAGCTGAAAATTTCAACTCCAGAGGAAAAACAAGCAACGAACTATTAGAGATGTTTTTGTAATATCTGTAAGTTGTTTAAAAATATGGTTAAAGGAGGCACAAAATGTAAAAAATGCTACAACAGAAGGCTGCTGTTCACTGTAATGACCAGGCTGTTTTACCTTTTCAGTGTTAGCTATCACTTAAAGTCATGAAATATTCAATTTGGTGAAGTTTTTAATGTTGTGAGAAGTGCAAAAAAGAAAGGGTCTGATTAGTTGATTTGTGTTTTAGTATGACATTATTCATGAATTTGGCTCAAAGTGGAAATGGCGGATCATACCTTTACAATAACTGGAACTCTGAATTGGCCTAGAAAACTGTGATCAGTGCATTTTCATATTAAACTTTAGCATTCATAGCAATATTGGCCAAAAAGTCCTTGCAAAGAAACATCAGAGCAATCACTCTCTTGACAAATAGAAAAAAAGAATGAATAAGGACTGTCATTTTGGCTCAACGGCTTTGCTTTGGAGCCATCAGACAAAGTTGGAAAGGACAGTTAATTAACATTTCAGCTGCATTGCCATTTGAATACAATTTGATTTTAATGTCTCAAGCTTTTTGCAAGTAATTAAGTACAAATTTAGTTATTAAAAACAAGAATTGCTATATTGTTAACCACATAAAAACTCCAAATTAAGTACATATGGAGATATTTTTGTGGGAATTTGAGGCATCAGAGGATCTAGTGGCAAAAAGGAAAAACTGTTCCTCCATCATAGATGAGTTCTGACAGCGTGGMTTGATCACCAGACTGGTGAAACAGAACCTGGCCAAGAAGGCAATAGCTGGCACAGCTCAATGCATGTTCTGGAATATGTGGCTGGACTGTTTCCTGGAAATATGGGAGGGTGGATCCCTCGGTGACCCCGTCCAGCAGCATCGGGGTTCTGAATTCAGCCAGGAGCTGGAGCGATACAAGAGAATTAGAGGACGGTGAAGGGAAGGTGGTGTTTTGGATGGGCTGTATGAGCTGGAGACAGATTTGGAGTAAGTCGGGTGGGAAGAAAGCGTGGTGGTCCAGATGGAGGATGACACCAGCAAAGAATGGGGGGGTAGAGTCCCTAGTGAAGACTGGCCGCACATCACAGTCCATAAAGCAGCATCTCATCACAGTTTCATGACAACACACTTCGATCTTTGCCTCCTTATTCTAAATCAACTTCTCTCCCGGCCTTGAAATGAAGCCCCAGAGTTTCAGTAACATTTCAGCAGATGAATTTTGAAAGAAAGAACTTATTAAACTACAACTCATCTATATCACCTCYAGTGGAGCTGCACTAGAGGATAAACACAACATAAAAAACATTTAGTGTTCCACAAGTCTCTGTTTAGAAAACACTATAAGAATTGGGTATATRTGAACATTTGAATACACATTTTAGGCAGTGCAAAGTACATTTAGAGACACAAACTATAAAAACTGTGAGTAAGGGGTCTCTGCAGAAGGTTTTGTCCTGTGGGTGGAGACGGCCCTACTTGTGATTGGTGGAGGTCTTGATGTGGGCGGAGAT